TCTAAGTTTCTCTAAAAGTCTCCTTAAAAATAATTCTAGAAAAACCCTTCCTAGTTCCATTAATATAATAAAGGCACTCAGTCATCTTCTAATTTGTTTTAAATGAGCCAGGAATCATTTAGTATAATGAGCAGTTATGATCAGTACTCTTTATTCATGATATACAACTCCAAATGCATAACCCAAATAAGCACATATTTGATTAAATAGCACCTTTGGTATTTCTAGTTAAAAAAAAAAAAGTACCATATACCCCTTTTGGTTCAGAATATAATCATTTATGATGGTGTTTCTACAAAAAAATCAGATATGACATTCTTAGACTTACAGAACTTCATACAGCATGGTAACCTACCAAAATCCAAAGACCACTTAAAATACTTTTTTATGATATAACTTTTTAAAGCAAAATATTTGAGAACTACATAGGACTTAAGTACACTCACATAAGATGCTACAAGAGACACTCAGGCAGAGTGGTTAGGACGATGACCTTAGGCTTGAATCCCTAATCCACCATTTAACAATCGTATGATCTTAGTCAAATTACTTTTCTTTCTGTGCCTACATTTCCTTTTCTATGAAAAAATGAGGATAAAAAATATAAGACATAGACACACACACAAACACAAACAGTGGAAGCTAACACACCAAAATGTTAACTATGGTGAGATTATTTGCTTCCTTAAGTTTGTATCTTATTCATAGTTTCTACAATGAACATTTAACATTTTTTAAAAAAGATTTATTTATTTTAGTGAGAGAGAGCAAGAGCAAGGGGAGGGGCAAAGGGAGAGAGAAAATCTCAAGCAGAGTCCTGCTCAGTATAGAGCCCACTGTGGGGCTCAATCTGATGACCCTGAGATCATGACCTAAGCGGAAATCAAGAGTCGGACACTTAATCGACTGAGCCACCCAAGCGCCCCAAACATTTAACACGTTTCATTTTTTTAATTTTTTTTTAAAGATGTTATTTATTTATTTGAGAGAGAGAAAGCACAAGTGGGGGAAGGGACAAAGGGAGAGGGAGAAGCAGACTCCCCTCTGAGCTGGACCCAGGACCCTGAGATCATGACCTGAGCCAATGGCAGACACTGAACTGACTGAGCCACCCAGGAGCCCTCATTTAATACTTTTTAATTCTGGGGCGCCTGGGTGGCTCAGTTGTTAAGTGTCTGCCTTCGGCTCAGGTCATGGTCCCAGGGTCCTGGGATCGAGCCCCGCATCAGGCTCCCTGCTCAGCGGGAGGCCTGCTTCTCCCTCTCCCACTCCCCCTGCTTGTGTTCCCTCTCTCGCTGTCTCTCTCTCTGTCAAATAAATAAATAAAATCTTAAAAAAAAAAAAACTTTTTAATTCCCCCAAAGTGAAAGTTTTTAATCAAATGCTTGAGTTTAAAGACTATATTATGTGAATTCTTAGTAAATTAAAGATTCCAGGGTGGTAAATTTAAGCTAGTAAATGTTTTTCATAAATTAGAGATTAATTTCAATTTGTGGCAAATTGTACATCTCTTTAAAAGAATTTAAAAAAAATGTTTACGTCTTCCTAGAAAAATGTTCTGTATATGTGGGTTCAGTTGTAAAGATAAATATAAGTTCAATGTAGTTTAAGGAGGAAAAGGCACATTGAATATGTCTGGAATAAATGACCATGTAAGTCTGTAAGAACAAGTTAAATTAAAATTATTTTTCCAAAAGTATATAATTTATCCAAGTACAGAAGTCTCATCTGTCAGACGCCAAAGGGGGAAGAACTGTAAAGATCATAGCATGTAAAACAAACTTAAAGCCTTTTATTTTCAGAAACTACTGATTTATCTAAATAAATCACTACATAATCTGGATAAAAAAATGAATTTTATTTTTTTATTTTTATTTTTTATTTTATTATTATTTTTTAAGATTTTATTTACTTATTTGACAGAGAGAGAGAGAGATAGTGAGAGCAGGAACACAAGCAGTGGGAGTGGGAGAGGGAGAAGCAGGCTTCCCACCGAGCAGGGAGCCCGATGTAGGGCTCGATCCCAGGACCCTGGGATCATGACCTGAGCCGAAAGCAGATGCTTAACGAATGAGCCACCCAGGCGCCCCCCAAAAATGAATTTTAATAAGAAGAATTAAAATAGACTCTTGGGTTTTGAAAAGAAGGCAAACTATTAAATAGGCATCTAAAAAGGTCAAAAGGAGACAATCACCTCACATTAAACTTAGTTGTTAGAATCAAATCACGTCACATAACGTATGGTTTCTGGTCATCGTCAAGCAATGAAAACCAGAACCTAAGGAGTGATGGAAAATGTACTTCTTTATTTTAGGGAAAAATATTTATCATGAGGATGTATCCTGATAACTAGCTGGTATTAATATCAGACACCATAAAATCAGTTCTTTCAGTTCTTCATGTAGAGTTTTGTTAATCACTCATTTACTATCAACTGAAAACTGATGATTCAGATGATACAGTGAACAGAAACAAAAGTAATAAAATGTTTTTAAAGCTAGTCAATTTCAATGATTCTAGCATGAAGAACTAGTATTAAATTGGAGGATTTTACTACCTTCACTTCATATCTTCTAGAGATTCTTTCCTAATGTCATTTATAAAAGCTGATACAAGGATATTTGCTTCTTCATTTATTCATTCAATAAATATTTGCTGAATGCCTACTTAATGTGCCAGATGCTATGCTCAGGTAAGTAAGACAACACAGAGTTCCCTCACGGAATCTAGTTAGAGAAAGACATTAAACAAAAAAAATCACACAGATACTTAATTACATTAGAATAAGTGCAGTAAATGAAAAGGAAAGTGTACAGTGAGCCTCTATAAAGGGGGCCTAACCCAGTTCACGGATTATAGGAAGGACTTCTGGAGGAAGTTAGATTTAAATGCTTCACCATCTATATATCCCAGACATCTATCCAAATGTCTAGCACATAGGATAAACTCAATAAAAGTTTGTGCAGCTGAATTAAATAATGGTTTGTTTGTTTTTTAAAGATTTTATTTATTTATTTGACAGACAGAGACCCAGCGAGAGAGGGAACACAAGCAGGGGGGAGTGGGAGAGGGAGAAGCAGGCTTCCCGTGGAGGAGGGAGCCCGATGTGGGGCTCCCTGAGCCGAACGCAGACACACTTAACGACTGAGCCACCCAGGAGCCCCTAAATAATGTTCTTAATGGAATTTCTCCAACATGCGTCTCAGTGCCTATGACAGTGTCTTGTACAGATGAGATAGCTAAAATGTATTTTTTTTTTAAGATTTTTATTTATTTATTTGACAGAGAGAGACACAGCGAGAGAGGGAGCACAAGCAGGGGGAGTGGGAGAGGAAGAAGCAGGCTTCCCGCGGATCAGGGAGCCCGATGCGGGGCTCGATCCTAGGACCCTGGGATCATGACCTGAGCTGAAGGCAGACGCTTAACAACTGAGCCACCCAGGTGCCCCAGCTAAAATATATTTGTTGAAAAAAATAAATTAATGAGGAAGTTTGCTTCTGTGGAAAGAACACAGGCTTTGGAATCAGACAGTTGGGTTCAAATGCAGGCTAACAAACCAGATGACCCATGCCTTACTCTTCAAAATAGGAATAATAGATCTATCTCAGAGGCTTGTGGAGAGAATTAAATACAATACATGTAAACTCCCTAGTACAGTGTTGGGCAATTGGAAAGTGTCCAACAAATAGTCACTATAATAAATGGTCACTAATAATTATATTATTTTCTTCATCTGCAGATTTAGTAAAGGAGAACCTTGATAAAAGTCAGCAAAATCAAAAAGATTCAAAGAGAATACCCTACAGACTTCTCTGTGTGGAGTCTGAAGATTATATACATACAATAATGAGAGAGTCAAGGATTAGATTGTTGGACATACTGACAATGCTGGGAAGGCTTATATTTTCACAAACCTATCTGGCCAAAGAGCCAATAAAGAGATAAGAATTTTCAGAGCACAGAGGGTAGCGTCTGTGGGAAGACGAGCTGTCTAGGGTATAAGCAATAAGGATGTATGGTTCTCTTTTAGATCTACTATATAAATTCTTAAATGTTCCCAAGTCCCCATTAGATGAAGTACTGTTGTATGCACTGAGGATCAGTGATGAGCAAGATGCAGCCCTTGCTCTTGACGAGCTGACTGTGGTAAGGACAGTTACACAGCAGGTGCTATGGCAGAAGATAGCTGGGCACTTAGTCTGGTCTTGATGTTTACACAAGGCTTCTTAAAGGTGGTTGTATCAGAACTAAGGTCTAAAGAATGACTTAAGAGTTATTTCAGAGCATGGGGGAGGGACATGTTGTTCTAGGCAAAGTGAAGTAAAACAAAGACCAGGAAGAATTAAATTGTGTAAAAAGGGTGACAATCTTAAACAGGCTGCTATCGTTAGACCAGTGAAGTGGGAAGAAGTTAAGCTTCAGAGACAGAGAGGAACCAGGTCACAAAGACCCTGGAAGGCCAGATATGGAAACCTGCAAATAATTAGATGGGAGATAGTATGTCAATACCAAGCAGCTTTCCGGACCTCAGACAGAGGAAATTGTGTAGAGGATAGCAAAAAGTGTTTGTTATTTTGTTTTTCTATTTGGATCAGGACTATTAATTATCCAGAATTGATGACTTTTCATTAGATGATATTCTCAAGCTTAGTGAAGCAATCTGGAAAATGGTAATGACTATTTATTTATCATTCCAAGAGACAACAATCAATCTAAGTAATTTCATCCTAAACAAAATATCTGACAATTATAGGCACCTATGAACACCCTTGCATGTATATAGCAAGGTTCTAAGACTTAGAGACTTTTTGGTTCTAATACCAACATCTAGAATTTATTTGCAGGTCGAAGATGGAAAGAGTATCCAGGGGAGTAAAAAAAAGTTCACTCTTCCCACCCTCAAGGATCTTTGGTCATTTGGTTAAGGAAACGGGATACTAAACTGAGCTTAAGAAAAAAACAGGGGGAAAAAAAAAAGACAGGAAAGAGAAAAGACTTACGGAGACCACACTCTTGGGAAAGCCTCTATTTCTTCCTGCGTGTACTCATCTAGACGTCTGGGTACTTTTCGTGGTTGAGGAAGCTCTTCCACCAAATTCTTACGAATATCTTCTGGTATGTCCTAGGTTAAATAAAATTTAGGCTTAATTTTCTTAAAATACATCCTTTAGTAATAAATTAGTAATACTTAGTAAATATTAAAAAATTACAAACAAAAGAATATTTATAGAATGAGGAACACAATACAATCTCTATAAATCCATGAAAATCCCTGGAAAGTATATTAATGATAAAAGTAATCTCATTATAATACTGTACCTTATATTTTAATCTTGACAAACCTATTTCTCATGATAAGTTAGATATCTTCAATTCTGAGGACCATCGAGTCACTAAGTTCTATCAATTTTTTCTAAACTGTTTAATTTATTCCCAGCCTTTCAACTGCAGAAAGGCACTGCCTTGGCTGATTCTCATGATTTTTCATCTGATTGAGTGGATGTACGGGGTCTGTGGCTTGCAGAGACACAACCTTTCAATTCATACTCCATGTTGTTGCCAGAAAAAACTTGGGAAAATGAAAACCTGCTGGATCTTTGAGTCATTTAGCCAACAAACATTAACTGAACTCCTTCTATGAACCAGAAATTGTGCTAGGTGCTCAGAATATAAAAGGGAATAAAAAGACGATGGCCTCTACAGGCTTATAATTTTATTTATTTATTTTTTAAGATTTTATTTATTTTTTTTAGAGAGCGAGCGAGAGAGAAACAGCATCAGAGGGGAGAGGGTCAGAGGGAGAAGCAGGCTCCCCGCTGAGCCGGGAGCCCGATGCGGGACTTGATCCCAGGACCCTGGGATCATGACCTGAGCCGAAGGCAGATGCTTAACCATCTGAGCCACCCAGGCATCCCATAGGCTTATAATTTTAAAAATGTCACTTCTCAAACCAGTGTCCTCACTCCTAGGCCATCTCTGAGACTTCACCTCTTCACACACACCCGGCCATGGTGTCTGAGTTATCAACCTCCTTGCCTTTCATGCATTGTTCCACACTGAAATCCTGGTGCCTTTATTAATGGCATTCCCTCTGCCCATAATGACTCTCCCCTGGTTAATATATTCAAATATTCAGAAAAATGAAAGGAAAAGTAAAATGCAAAAAAGTCTGAATTTGGGTAATGAAAAGTAAACTAAAGAGTAAAGCATAGGGATGCCTGGGTGGCTCAGTCGGTTAAACGTCTGCCTTCGGCTCAGGTCATGGTCCCAGGGTCCTGGGATAGAGTCCAGCATCGGGCTCCTTGCTCAGTGGGGAGCCTGCTTCTCCCCCTGCCTGCAGCTTCCCCTGCTTGTGCTCTCTCTCTCTGAAAATAAATAAAATCTTAAAAAAAAAAAAAAAGAGTAAGGCATATATTTGAGAGATATTTTAAAAGAAGAACAGAATTGAACAAAGTAAAGGAAATGATAAAATGAAGAGCCTGAGTAACCAAAAGAATTTACATTTATTTTGTGCTCATGATACAGACATATGGGAAAGGGAACTGTCTTGTGAGTCTGGATGGTAAGTTATTTTTGGAGACTCTACTGAAGTAATGGTTGGATGTCAATATGAAAGCATCCTATGAGTATTTCCACAGGGATAGTAGATATATTTCCCTCTTTTCATAACAGTACATTCCTAAACATTAAAAAAAGTTATATAGTAAATTACAATTCTCCGTGCAAAGAGCATATCATAATTGGGAATCAAGTATCTGGGCAAGAACATGGGCCCAAAACAGTCAACGTCTTAAGAATCAAAATATAATTTTAAAATAGCTTTAATGAATCAGAGCTCTATGGCATTATAAATTTGTTCTAAAATCTAATATGGCAAAATTTTAATAATACTTAAAAACACTTAGGTTGGCTTTTTAAAATTATGGCTTGTATAGGGTGAGTCACTACCAATACATACAAAATACAATAAATACTATCGATAATGTTTTTCTTCACTGAGAAGCATTTTAAAAATATTTGACATCCCTTCCCCAATATATTCAAATCTGTAAGTTTAATCACACAAAACTGGAACAAGGAGAGGATGCCTGGACATATAAATATTAAGTTGCTCTAATTTTTTACTTCCTGAAAAAGTCTACTTGCCAGTTTGAGATTTTTAAAAGTTTATGAATATTTCACACTCCTTTGGGAAGCTATTAAGAAAAACAATCCCGCTATCATTCACAAAGACAATTTTAAAAGTTGCCAAGTGCTTACACAGCAGAGGGTGTGGAACATACTGGGTTAGTAAATGTTTGCCGAATTGAAGACAATTCTGACTGAAACGAGCTTACAAATTTTCCCCACTCTTAGAGCAATTTACTGAAAGAATGGATTAAAACACTGCAAAATGAGGAATGAAAGTTGTTGATTAGGCATTACACATGAAACCAGGAAGAGGGGAAGCACCTCCTTTAATCTGCACACTGAGAAGGTAGTAACCCAAACATGCTAACTGAATGTGTTCATGGAGATTTAAGAGATTTAATCATTCCCGCTGCATGGAGGGAATGATCAACCTAAATGGGGGGAATAAGGAGAAGAATGAGTAGAATAAACGGGGCAAGGTGATCAGTTATTACTTTTTTCAATTTCTAAAGAAATTTCAAATCTACAGAAAAATTGTGAGAATACAGTGAACACTCCTCTAACCTTCACCTAAATTCACCAACTGTCAAAATAGGACATGTTTGCTTTCCTTCTTTTCACCTATATACAAACACATGCAAACTTTCATTTTGGCTGACCCATTTGAGAGTAATTTGTAAATATTTCATCCCTAAGTATTTCAGCGTGTATCTCCTAAATATAAGGATTGTCTCCTATGTCACCACATTACAAATTCAAGCTTAGGAAAATTAACATTGATGAAATACTTTCTATCTGATATATAAGTATATATTCCAATTTTCCAAACTGATACAATATTGTCTTATGTATCTTTTTTTCAGTCTAAGATCCAGTCAAGGATCACATGCTACATTTAGTTATTATGCTGTTACTATGTTGTTTCACATACATAATAAGTTCTTCAGTCTCTTTTAACACAAAGCCTGTCCCTGCTTTTTGTTGTTCATAAAATTAACACTTTTGAAGAGTCCAGGCCAATTATGTGGTAGAATGCCCTTTTATTTGGATTTGTTGGATTGTTTCCTCATTAAAGTCAGGTTAAACATTTTTGACAGAACGCTATACATAGTTTGAGTCTTCAGTGCTTTATTCATAGCAGGAGCACATGATGTCAGTCTGTCCCATACCAATGATATGTTTGATCTCTTGGTTATGTTGGTGTCCACCAGGTATCTTTTTTTATTTTATTTTTTAAAGTTTTTTTTTTTTTTTTATTCATGAGAGACAGAGCGAGAGAGAAAGGCAGAGGGAGAAGCAGGCTCCCAAGGAGCAGGGAGCCTGATGCGGGACTCGATCCCAGGACCCTGAGATCATGACCTGAGCCGAAGGCAGACGCTTAACCATCTGAGCCACCCAGGCGCCCATCCACCAGGTATCTTTAACATAAAGTATCTTTTCTCCTTTCAAATAGTAAGTACTCTGTGACATGTTTTGAAATTGCGTGAATTATCTTTTTCTACAATAATCTTTCACCCAGTGACTACAGAATATGCTGATAATGGTGGCTTTTCTAATTCAGTATTATTTCTACATTTTTTAGATGATATTCTTCTCTAAGGAAAAGCTTTTCCTTCTCCAGAAAAGAAAGGGAAATTATAACAAGTTAAAAATAAATTTTTAATGGGCTCACAGATTTTTGTCTTCTACTCAATGTAATCCATTATTATTACCATTCATTTTGAGGCTCACAAAATCCCATATTTGGTCAGTGGGCACCAATTCAAAATGCCTCCCATGTTCTCTTGGTATTTCTCCACCCATTTCTGAACACTGCCTTATTTTCTGTTACTTATTATTTTACCAGCATAAACAATGCAGAAATAATAATTATGTACATGTGTATACTCCATAATAACTTTGTTCTTTCTCTGCTCCAGACCTAGAATCAACCATTTCTCCAATGAGAACCAGGTTCCTTTTAATAAGGAATAGCATTTAGAAAATGAGATCTGGGGGGCACCTGGGTGGCTCACCTGGTTAAGCGACTGCCTTCCACTCAGGTCATGATCCTGGAGTCCCAGGATGGAGTCCCGCATCAGGCTCCCTGCTTAGCAGAGAGTCTGCTTCTCCCTCTGATCCTCCTCCCTCTCATGTTCTCTGTCTCTCATTCTTTCTCTCTCTAATAAATAAATAAAATCTTTAAAAAAAAAAAAACGAGATCTGGGCACTAGCTGTACTTACTTCTACTAGTGCTGTCATATAATTTTTATTTATTTTTTTAAAGATTTTATTTATTTATTTTTAGAGAGAGAGCATGTGCGAGCAGGGGGGAGGGCAGAAGGAAAGGGAGAGAATTCCAAGTAGACTCCAAGCTGAGCACACAGCCAAAGGTGGGGCTTGATCTGAGATCATGACCTGAGCTGAAATCAAGAGTTGGATGCTCAACTGACTAAGCCACCCAGGTGCCCCTTGAATAAAAATCTTAACATGATAAGAAAGTTAAAGTAAAAAAAAAAAATAATCTAAAAGACATTCTCCAAAAACCTTATTCTCTTCCCTACTCCTTCCATCTCTTTGTGCCCATGCTTCAATAAGTAGCCAACTTCATCTTCTCGAGTTTCTTTATGCAAAAAGCAGATATGGTATGTATGTGTGTAAACATGTATATGTACCTATGCACAGAGAAGGCAGTATGCTATCTGTATTTTTTAACCTTGCCTTTTTTCACTTACCAATATGTCTTGGAAAACATCAATTCACAAGAATATTTGGCATTCTTTTTTTATAGTTACATAATACTCAACTGAATGGATGTAATATTTTTTATCCAATCACCTATGAATAAACTCTTTCTATTATTTTACTATTATAAATAAGGTGGAAACAATAATCTTGTGTATTTTCAGAGTAAACAGATTGCTGAACCAAGCACGAATCTCCTTATGTATGTATTGTATTATATGTAATGTTACCTAATTCTCAGATTCCTTATGGGTTGCACCATTTTGTACACCTACCAGCAATCTATGAGTGTCTACTTCCCTATGGCCTGGACAACAAAATGTTATATGAAGCTTTTGAATATTTGACAATCCATTTTTGGGGATTGTCAATACTGAAACTATTTAAGTAATTTGCTGTTCAACTGAACTACCATGAAAACTTAAAACATCCACATTCAAACCTGACTGCCTTATAACTAAGATTATATATCTATCTATATATACACATTTTGTGTGTGTGTGTCTTTTAGAAAGTACGGATTCTAAAAAAATGGTACAGTACAATCAGAAATACAACATTTAATATTGTGATTTGATGAAGGTCATTTATTCTTAGATGATGACATAGCTCCCATACTTGTTACCTCAGAGGTAAAGTGAATACTGGAAAATTCTACTCATTCATGCAAAGCAGAGGTAATACATTAACCATTTTGATAAAAGCATGAGTAATTTACTCATGCATTAAGCTAACTAAATAGAGCACACAGTGGCTTAAATAGTTGATATAACTTAATATTCTAGAATTAGTTCCTACATTATTCCTCTAGTAGTAATTATAAGGACAACAATCACAATCATGGTAATGATGGCACTTACTGTGTCAGGCCTATTCTAGGTGCTCTACAAATGTTACCTCATTTGACCCTTACCACAATCTTGTGAAGTAGGTACTCTTATTTCCATTTTACAGATGAGAAAACAGAGATAATAAGTAACCACCCATGGCCATAAAGTCAGTAAATGGTGGAGCATGAATTCTAATCCAGATGGTCTGATTCCAGAGCCTGAACTCAACTATTTTATTATAGAACCTCTACTGTTTCATTACATTATACTAAAGGGAAAAGCTAAGGACTTAAAATAGTTTAATAGTAATAAATAAAACTATTTTTTTCAAATACTTTTTTAGCTGAATAAATTTTGAGTTAGGAACAAGTATTCTAAAATTAAATCAAGGAAAATAATTAGCAACCAAAACTAAGTTATTAATCCATGATTCATACAAGGTTTGCTACTAGTCACATAAAATGTATATGAAATTGATGCTTTTTATAGCTGATGAAATTAGCAATGAATACCCTCAATTTATCAGGGGCTCTGGCCATGTTCCTTGTTGCAGCATCATTACCAATGACCACTGACTTACCTCATCTGGGAAAAGATGCAATCTCTGCATCAGAGTTCTTCTGTGAAGGTTTTTTGGCAGCATGCCATAAATAGCTAGTTTCACAATCTGAAAAACAGATATATGTAGGACTCAACAAGAAAAATCTGATTTGGGATATAAAAAGGCAACCACATTTAGAGATAGTGGTGAAAACAAGTAGGCTAAGATTCAACAAAAACGAAAGGGAAGAAATTAAGACCTAAGTAGATATATGTGAAAGCAACAGCAAAGGAATTGTCATTATTTTGTGCATTACTATTTTCTTTAGGCTCTATTTGCTTTAATTTAGTTTTAAAGGAAAAGGACAATAGGGAAAGATTAAAAATAATCTACATATGTACTGATGTTAGCTAGAATAAGAAGAAATTCTCTAAGCTTATACAAGAAGCTACGGCTCAAATAATCTGTCCCATACTGAATATAGCAGAACCCAGGGAGGCCTTAAAATCTGTTTCCTCCAGGTAGATCAGGAGGTTTCAAATTCATAAAGTAAGCATGACCATACAGTTTTGAGAATGACTCGTAGGTCACAAATCTACAACAATGTTAACATTGTTAACTGCGTCACATTTGTTGTCTTGTTTATCATGCCGAGTCTCATTTCACACATGAGAAAACAGATTTAATGAGGTTAAAGAACTCTCCCAATTTTATATATCTAACTTGGTGGTGCTGGAATACAAACCAGGCAGTGGTCTTACTCCCAGAATAGACATATAGTACATGCAATCACACCTATAATGTGTTTCTCTCTGTCACCTCTCAAGAAGACAAAAAGTCCCTTCTCTCTACCATACCCATTCCCAAGATGGCAAACTAACCTTGCCGTGATTTACTTTTTCTTTTTTAAGATTATCCTCTTTGTTGGTCTGAATGTGATTTGATATCCTTTATCAAGAGAAGGTCACACAGTGTCACCCTGTGTTCCATAATCTCCTGGGGGCCTGCTGGCATCTAGTATATACAAATACACTGCGAGGTCTTCATAAAGCTGCTGATAGGGACATTTGGAGGGCTACATCAATTTTTACCATCTGTACACATAATCCAGGAATATGACTTGACGTGTATTAAAGTTAGTAGGAAGGGAAAAATGAAGGGGGGAAATTGGAGGGGGAGACGAACCATGAGAGACTGTGGACTCTGAGAAACAAACTGAGGGTTCTAGAGGGGAGGAGGGTGGCAGGCTGCATTAGCCCGGTGATGGGTATTAAAGAGGGCATGTACTGAATGGAGCACTGGGTGTTATACGCAAACAATGAATCATGGAACACTGCATCAAAAACTAATGATGAAATGTACGGTGATTAACGTAACATAATAAAATAAAATTTTAAAAAAACCCACTAAAACTATACATGTTAGAACAGTGTTGCACTATAAGATTTCCTGTATCTTTAATTTTCTCATCAAAAAACCCAAACAAACAAAAAAAACCCTTACTACATACCCAAGCTAATGGCATCCCATATATATTTTCCAGTTTAGTGCTATTAATACTCTATGTTCTAGAGATTTTAATAGAGATTTCTATTGTTAAAATTAAAAGCAATTAAAAATTCAGTTAACTCAGCCACACAAGCCACATTTCAAGTGGCCAATTGCCACATATGGCTAGTGGCTACCATGTTTGACAGTGCAGACATAGAACATCATGACAGAAATTTCTATTGGACAACATTGATGTAGATACTTGTCCTTAAAAATTTTTATTTTTAAAAGTCTTAAGCAGAAATCGACAGTGTTAAGACTACTGAGCATCTTTTCTGGATAAGCTAGTCATTATATCCTCTGAATATCCCAAAATAGCAATTTTATTGTTATGGTAGGGTTATATGGCATTTAGGGTTCATGCTCTTAAAAAAGTATAGTTGTAGTCACTTGAATTAACAAGTTGGCTTTTTAAAACTTGCCCTATTAAAACATGCAAACATAAGAGTCAAATTAGAGAAAGCTAGAAAGTGTAGAAAGGTTTTAAGCTGACAGGGGAGAGAAAAAGGCAGACATACAAACAATATATGCCCCAAATAATAGAACACAACGTGTGCATGCAATCAAGTAATTATAGCTGCATAGGCTTAAGCATAAGTTCTAAGGAATTCAGAAAGTGAGAGAATAAAGCGAGGTTAATAAATATTAAAGAGCTTCCACATCTGAAAACCAGGGCATGTGCCCATTTGTTTCACACAAAATAACTTTATTAACTATGGGGGTGGGGGGAGAGATAAGAAAGGAACCATGTTAGAAAAAAAATGTAAGGACAAAGAGGTGGGACATCTGGTTGGCTAAGTCAGAAGCGCATGTAACTCTTGAACTTAGGGTCGTGAGTTCAGGCCCCACATTGGGTGTAGAGATTATTTAAATAAATAAAAACTTAAAAAAAAAAATGTAAGGACAAAGAAACTATTAATAAAACTAAAATATATGATAGAGGTTGATAAGGAAAGGCTGAATTAACACATTTATATGAGTTTACAAATAATCTGTGTAATTATAAAAATATTTTGAAATATTTAATAACCTACTAATAACTATTTAAATGTATTAATTAATGTATTTTACAAACAATATTCCAGGACTGTACTAATAATCAGAAACAAATTCTCTTACAAGCCCATACACCAAGTACTGATAAGCAAATTATGTCTGCAGGCAGAAGACCTACTGTTCCAGACAAACACGTTATTTGATTTGAAGTAAAATAACTGAACTCTTCCCTAACAAGCTATTCTTTTTCAAAATACAAAGTCAAAATTAAGACTTAAAAAAAAAAATTAACATTATTTAAATGACATAATAATTCAAATGGATTTAACTTTGAACTATTTTCTAGGCCTTCATTAAACATTTTGTAATGTGTTTTAATATTTGTTTATAAAACATAACTTGAAACAGTTTCTACAAATGTTATCTATTGCCAAATCCTTATAAATTATAAAGTTGGGACTATATTGCCTCCTAGTGTACAGTGAGCATGCCTGCCTGAATAACACAGAAATTTAAATCTTAAAAATATCTGTCAAATATTAAAACTACAATTTGTTGTAGCACTTATGGTACATATTATCAGCAGCCCTTATAACTGTTTAATACCATTACATGCAATCCATATAAATAGTCAAAACAGGATATTTTATTTGACCTGTAATAGTCTAAAAACATGTTTTGAAACAGAACGTTAAATATTTCTTAAGCAATCTGAGCATATTTTTGTAAAACACCTATAAATGATAAGAAGTAAAAATAAATGGCAAAGCACGGAACTTCCAAATGTTACGTCAGAACTTACTATAATAAAACATGTCTCTCTCCCTCACCTCTAAGGAAGTTTTAGGCAGTATTACACCAAACAAATGATTGTATCCTGACAATAGGTATCTATTTTTATTCACCACTATAGGGAAATTAAAAAAAGAACGTCTTCACAGCATAACACTTTGTTCATTTATGAATGTATTTACGTATAAAGCTAAAATAGTTCATAATGGGGAAAATGTTATTGTCTATTCTATGAGTCTAGTTCAAAGACTGAGTTATAAAGAATTAAGGAAGGAAAAATAAAATTGTGAAATGGCAACAGGAGATTTTGTTTTTAGCAATACTGACCGCTAATATTTAGATTAGAAATTTCTAGTATATAACTCAAATGATAAAGAAATAAATATTAATGAAATTAATAATATTGTTTTAAAAAATCTTTTCTAAAGCATGAAGCAACTAGAGGCCAGAAGTAGGAGAAAGTAGTACAAAAAAAGAGTCCTAAGGCTCGCATTTGCCCAGAGGGTATCAGCTTAGTGCAGGGCTTGGATTTCAAAGGACTACCTCTTTTTCGGTCAGGAAGTAGGATCAAAGACTTCCTCATAAACCTAGATTTTCAACAGAAGTCAATATCCAGGGTATAGAGTGGGGAAATTAAAAAATAAAAATCTTTCCTGATAGGAAACTAGAACCATGAGCCTGACTGCAGAAGGCCTTGAGGCCCCAAATACACCCTTTTTAAAATGGGGATCAAAACCCAGAAATCTATAAAGTATAGCTTAAAGAGGTCTTAGGTTGGTATAGCCCCATGCACCTATCAGAAGCTAAGCCAATCTTTTTTTTTTTAAGATTTATTTATTTTAGAGAAAGAGAGAGAGAGCGCATGCAAGAGAAGGGGGGAAGGGTAGAGGGAGAGGGAGAGAGAATCTCAAGCAGACTCCCATTGAAGGCAAAGCCTGACGTGGGGCTCAATCTCACAACCCTGAGATCATGACATGAACGGAAACCAAGAGTCAGGCACTTAACTTTAAGCCACCAGGTGCCCCTGCTAAGCAAATTTTTATGAAGAAATCCACTTTGAAGATATAGGTCTCAAAGAGTTCTCAGTGATGAAGTTTCAAGGTACATGAGCTTATCAAGTATCCTGAGCAGAAACAATATATTACAGATCCACAAAGACCAAAAATATTAGAATCAGATATAAACACTAAGAATTATGTTTACTAGGCTTAAAAAAATAAGAAGGAACCAAAGTATGACAAAGAAACAGAAAAACTATCAAAACTGACCAGCAAACTTGAAAAAAAAGACAAACAGTAAATCTTCAAAAAAAAATATAATAATTCAAATTAGAAACTCAATAAAAGGATTGATCAGATGAGATATAGGTAAAAAGATAGAGAACTAGAACTCAGACATAAAGAAATTATTGACAATGCAGCACAGACAGGGAGACATAAAATATTAAAGAGAGCTAATGAATCATGTACAATGAAATGAGACAATCTACTGTAAATATAATCAGATTTCCAAAGGGAAAGAACAGATAAAGAATAAAAGGACCAATATTTAAAAGATGTAAGAGCTGACAAATTTTCAGAACTGAAGATACCAGTCCTCAAGCAAAATAAATAACAAGACTTGAATAGAAACAGGAAAACCAGCACCAAAGGAAAGATCTCAAAAGCATCCAAAAAGAAGACAAAATACATACAAAGAAATATTAAACTGACATGTGATTTATCAATAGCAGTAATAGAAACTAAAATCTATTTGAACAATAGCTTCAAACAGGTGAGAGAGAAAAATAGTTATCCTAGAATTGCATATACTGAATAAGCAAAACTAACTTTCAAGAAAGAAGGCAAAAATAAAGAGTTTCAGACAAAAATGAGTTTACTATTAAGAGAATGTTATGATAGGAATGTCAAAAGAAGTATTTTGAGAAGGAAATTAATCCCAAAGGAAGGCTGTTACCTGAAAGGATTTATAAGCAAAGAGAATCATAAAAAATCAGTAACTAGGTAAAACAATAACAAGAATGTTGAATTGGAAGGGTTTTGAAAACTGTTGAATAGAGAAAGAATCATAACTGTGAGGGAGAGAAGGTGTTAAAAATCTTCTAAGGACCTTGATTTGATCTGGAGGAAAATAAAGATATTGATTAATCTTATACTTCTAATAAATAAACTCAATCCAAAAGAAGGCAAGAAAGAAAGAGGGGAAAAATTAAAATAAAATCTAGTTTAAGTGTAAAGTAAAACGACATTTCAGGCAAACACTATCAAAAGAAGACTGATGCAGCTTATTAATATAAAAAAAATACACCTGGGTTAAAAAGCATTATTGGAGATAAAAAGGGCCAAGTACATATGCTGATTAATTCTTAGGAATAGTATAATTCCAAACTTAAATTCATCTAACACTAAATCTTCAAAACATACAAAGCAAAAACTGCTAGAACTACAGGGAAAAAACAAATCCACAATTGAGAATGTAACATAACTCTTTCAGGTAATCAATAAATGAAATGAACAAAAAAAGGTAAGACTTTTGATTGGAACAACATACTTTGCATATTTGATATAATGGATATATAAACATACATAGATACAAACAACGCTCTCTCTCCCAAGATGTTTTTGTGAACATATCATATTCTAGGTAATCAGGCTGGTATCAAGTAATTAAAAAGAAAAGCAACAAAACTGTTTGGCTACGTGAAAAACATAGTAAATAGTATTTAGAAAATATATAGATTTGAATAATAATGGGTTAATACTTATCAAAACTTGTGAGACAGTTAAAGCACAGAATTTATAGCCTTGCATGCTAGCTACATTAGAAGAGAAGCAAGACTGGAAAAACAGTTTCTGAACCAGTCTTTCCACAGATGACAAATAATAAAAAATACAATAAACTTACTGCTACTGGATCCTTCTGGTGAAGTTGAGCAGCTGTTACTTGTTTAAATCCACCTGGATAGCTGTGAAAAGAAGCAAAGACATTAAAACTGGGAGAATGAATGTTTTATAATATGAAAACTATTTTTATTATGGAATTATTGTTTTAGGAAACTATGCTGTTCATTAGTATCTTAAAAAAAAATTAATAAGTAACCTATGCTATTTGAAATGCTGTTCTTTTTAAGTGGTCAACTATCAGTGTTTCATAAAAGTTCCACATCGTGGAAAATTCATGGCATAATTATCTTTCAAGGGAATTTAAAGTTTTCATTCATTGATTCATTCATTAATTCATTATGGGGTAGTTTATCATGCTTGAATTAAGAAAGAAAAAGCAATGAGCCAATATGCTTCACATTTCCTGCCAAGTCAGAATGTCTGTATAGCCTAGGGGTCAAGTTTGGGGAAAATAGTGGTAGACCACTTTGGTTCTAAAGTCAAGTTCATACTCTGAAGAGGGGATGGTCCTGTTTCCTACTAACAATTGGTAAAAGACCACTAAGAGTTATACGCTGGTCTTAAGTAATAAAATATTTCACTGAATTCATATAAAAAATATATAAAACGGATAGAGGTTAAAAACTATATATACATTCGTATATGGGATACATATATATTTGGGATCGTACTGGTGGTAGTTTAGTAACTTGGATGCCCCATATCCCAGTCTAGAATCTAGGTTTGCCAGTGGCTACCAGTATAGTATTAGTTAACTCATTTTACCTTTTTATATGAGTTTATTCACATAAGAAAATGATACTATCTGCTCTATCTACCTCTCAAGATTTTTACAAGAGTCAAATGAGAAAATGTTTGTGAAACTGCTTAAGAAATTTAAAACAAAAACAATATACAGATGTGAGGTTTCATTATGCTGAATGGATAAATATAGCCCAAATGATTTCTGAGGAAGGGGAAAAGAAAACATAAACTCAGTGCACTCTGCAAAAGAAGTTAAAGATTACCTAAAATGTGATTCCTTTCGTAAGTTTCTTTCGACAAGACTTGAAAACGTTTGAAAGAACCACATTTCAGGAATAAAATTGAAGAAGCAGATTTAGAAGTTTGCTGAGAAAGATGGATAATTTTCAAAGTGATACTCTTGCATTTGTTTCAAGGAATTTCAGTTTCAGAAAAAGAAATACCTGTCTAGACTTCAATTCCCGTATTCATTCTCTCCATGGAAAAAAGTACTTTACACCTTCTACGCTAAAGATCACTTCTCTGTTTTCAACACTGGGATGCCAAATTCTAAAGCACAATACCATTTACGTTTTAGAGAATCTGGAGAGAGAGCATAAAATTCTGAGTAGACGAATGACTTGCATAGTGTAATAAATACTCAGTTGATTTTTACTGGTGAAAAAGTAATTACACTTCTTCCTCCAGGGATAGCCTGAATGGAAGAGAAGAAACTTTGTTTTAAATGTTCGTCAAATTTTTTTCAATTCAAATTAATTCAGTAAATACTGAATGCCTATTGTGCTGAGTGCTGGGGATATACAATAAATTTAACAGTATCCTGTCCACAGGAAAAATGACTAAGTGAATTCTACTGAGGCATCTAACAGTAGGCTGTATTTCTAACTCATATCAATACATTTTAGATGACTGAACAGTTAGAGTCAAAGTTCAAGGTGCACACATACACATCTCGCCTGACCTCTAAAACCACGAGAAGCGAATGTTTATGAAATATTTAGATGAGAAAAGATTTTCTGAGACTGGAAAACACAGAAGAAATTACAAGGGAAAAGAGAGATTTAATTATATAAAAGTTAAATAACCATACAACAAAGGATATCAAGAAAATTCGTAAAAAGTAAACTAATAGTGGATTAACATTCTTAATAGATAAAATACGCAGAGAAGGTGCTAAGGAAGGCATTGATACCTTATTATAAGGCACATGTAAACAATCAGATGCCCATCGAAGTAGCAGAATCTTATTATTAAATCATTTTTATGGCAGCACTGTGTCAGCAGTTTTACAACAGGCATTCTTATGCACTCCTAGTGCAATATTACAGTAACGTTTAGAAATACCTCTTAAAAGACCTATTATCATCCCTTTGATCTTGAAATTCGTTACATTTCTAGTTTTATTTTAGATTACCCTATATATTGAAAAAGCCTAATGGATAAAGATTTTTGGGGGGCTCTTTATGAAATTAAAAATTTTAATTTTAAAAAACAGAACAATCATTATATATGCAAATCATATTGTATACTACTACACAGTGACTAACAATAATATTTATAAAAAAGCTTTCTGGGAATTTTATATAAAGTGAAAAAGGATGTAAACTTGTGTATGTATTAAAATGTTTACTCCACAGGATGAAAAATGATTTTTAGTTCCTTCTTTACATTTTTCTGCATTTTCTAAAATTATCATATATTAACATTTTTACAACTAGAGAATTAAATTTTGAATACATAATGTAACAGTGTTATGAGCATAATAAGAGTGGTACCTCCAGTGAGGTGAAGGAACAAAGTGAAGAGTCAAGAGAAACAGAAAGAAAAAGTGACTAACCCTACGGGGGATGACGAAATAGGGAAGGCCTTCCAGAAGAGGTGATATCTGAGTCAGGTTTTAATGGATAAATGTGAGAATTCTTGAGAAACACTCCTGTGAAGGAGAATAACACATGCAAAGGCAGAGAGGCAAGAAACAGCAATATGTTGGCTAAAATGAAGGATTCTGAAGCAGAAGGGATAGCTGGGTACCAACAATTTACAACAGTTTAGATTTTCATCCATAGATAGGAGAGCTTTACTGAAGAGGACACCACCAGCAGAGGGTACATTACACGAGCTGTTCACTACTGGCAGGGCTATTATTTTCCTTCATCTGCAGTATCACTACAGATATTATTGCTACAGCAATTACTGTAGCATTTTGTGTCAATACTTCCCCTTTATGCTTTTATCACATCATGTTATCCTGACTTTTCATATTTCCTTCCCCCATTATCTCTAAATTTTATAGAACTTGGTTTATCTGTAGAGATTTCCTAATAGTAGAAATTACTAAAGCCGTTTGTGAACTTATTTGGGCATTTGTATGGGCAAAGGATGGCTAATGGAAACAAAAAAGTTATTCCCAGCATTTGAGACCTACTTAGGGGGGCTATTAAAGTCTGCTTGTCTAAGATGAAGGTGTACTTGGAAATAAAATAATAATTTTAATCAAGAATGAAAGGTCAACTTTTTTTTTAAAGATAGATTTATTTATTTATTTTAGAGAGACAGAGAGAGAGCATGAGTGGGGAGAGGGGTGAAAGGAGAGAGAGAATCTCAAGCAGACTCCCCACTGAACATGCAGCCCTATGCGGGGCTTGATCCCAGGACCCTGAGATCATAACCTGAGCTGAAATCAAGAGTCAGCCGCTTAACTGACTGAGCCACCCAGAAACCCATGAAAGGTCAACATTTCTAACCACATCTTTTACATGATAGTACAGAAGGTATGCTTAATTAAATTTATATATGACCTGAAGCAGAAGGGTTAACTAACACATTACATTACACAATCAAGATCTCACAAGATTTTAAAAGGCTGGAGATAAAATTTAACTAAGGTATTGCAGTTGGGTTAAAATGCAACTAAAACATACAAGGAAGATACATGGTTGAACAGCAACATGTCTAAGAAAGACTTAGGAGTTTTAGCTGATCATGAACTAGTGTACTACCCAGTGATATGGCCTTGAAGAAAAGTTCTGTTGCGATAGAGGTTTGCAACTGAAAGATGGAGGACTCCCATTATACCAGGAAACCATCAGAACATAGCCAGTTGAGTATATTTCGTTATGAAAGACACTGACAAGAAATGACTATATCTAGAGAGTGACCAAGAAATAAAGGCGATAGTCAAAGGGAAGCCATATGAAGAACTCTGAAGGACTATACATGTTTAGCCAAAGACAAATCAATGGGCTCTTATTGATCCCTTTCTCAAAATTATGTGAAGGATGTCCTGTGGAAGAGATATAATTATTTAACACTGTCCAAAGAGGAGAACTAAGACCAGTATGAAAGCTGGAGAAAAACAGATTATGATTCAATAGCATAAAGAGCTTTCTAAAATTTAAACCATTTCAAAGGTGGAATGAATGGGCTGCCTTACAAGCCACAAGATGGCTATTATTCAAACATTGGCAGAGAGACCTGGATCTTGAAAAGTATGTTGTGGGGATTTTAGGTATCTTCCAAATTTGGGATTTTGTTCACCATTCCTTAAACATCTCATGTATTATGGTTCAGGAAATAGCAGTAACATGAATGATAGGAAACAGAGAAAAAATTGAGAAGATTGACTAAAAAATGAGAATAATCTAAACCAGAGAAGTTATGTGAAAAGCTCCTAGGAAAAACAAATACTGTCAGTAATAACTAGTATTTGGTATAGTTCTGTGGGTTTTTTGATTAAATTATGTATGTAGCATATGCAAAATTAGTATTTTCTTAAATGCCAATTTTTGAAAATAGCTTTTTAAGTGAGATCTATAGTATTCTTTTAAGGGATGGGTTTGTTTACTTATTTATTTAAAAAAAAATTTTTTTTTAAATAATCTCTACACCCAACTTGGAGCTCACACTCATAACCCTGAGATGAAGAGGCATCTCTTCCAACTGAGCCAGCCAGGCACCCCTAGTAAGACCAATAGTATTTTTAAAGTAATATATTTCAACTACCTATCTTTCTTGACAATGCATTATCTTTTTTCTTTTTTGAGTATAGTTGACACATGATGTTACATTAGTTCAGGTGTACAACTTAGTGATTCAATAACTCTGTATGTTATGCTATGATCACCACAAGTGTAGCTACCCTCTGCTACCATACAATGCTATTATAATACCACTGACTATATTCCCACTCTGTACCTTTTATCCCTGTAACTTATTCATTCCATAACTGGAAGCCTGTATCTCCCATTCCCCTTCACCCATTTTGCCCATCCCCTCCACTCATCCCCTCTAGCAATCATCAATTTGTTCTTTGTATTTATAGCTCTGATTCTGCTTTTTGTTTATTCATTTATTTTTTATTTATTATTATTTTTTTAAAGATTATTTATTTATTTGAGAGAGAAAGAGAGCAGGAGCAGGGGAGCAGAGGGAGAGGGAGAAGCAGGCCCCCCGCTGAGCGGGGAGCCCAACGCGGGGCTCCATCCCAGGACCCCGGGATCATGACCTGAGCTAAAGGCAGATGCTTAATGGGCTGAGCCACCCAGGTGCCCCTATTTATTTGTTTTTTAGATTCCACATATAAGTGAAATCATATGTCATTTATCTTTCCGAGTCTTCACTTAACATTATATACTCACATTGTTGCAAATGGCAAGACTGCATCCTTTTTTGTGGCTGAGTAATATTCCAGTGCATGTGCACATGTGTACATCATTAGCCATTCATCTATCAGTGCACACTTGGATTGCTTTTCTATTTTGCCTATTATAAATAATGCTGCAATAAACATAGGGGTATATATGTATTCACAAATTAGTGTTTTCATTTTCTTTGGCTAAATACCTAGTAGTGGAACTAGTGGATCATATGGTAGTTCTATTTTTAATTTTTTGAGGAACCTCCATACTGTCTTCCACAGTGGCTGCACCAGTTTACATTCCCACCAACAGTGCATGAAGGTTCCTTTTTCTCCACATCCTCACCAACATTTGTTATGTATTGTCTTCTTGATTCTGGCCATGCTGACACATGTAAGGTAGTATCTCATTGTGGTTTTGACTGGCATTTCCTGATGGTTAGTGATGTGAGCATTTTTTCATATGTCTGTTGGACAATAGCTTTATCTTACCCAGTATGTGAGGAGTATACTTTTTGTTCCCATTTATTTCCAGAAAATGCAATGTGCCTTGTGTTCATAATGACAACATGATCCCCACAGTCACCTAGATTTAAAAAGAACAAAGAAAGAAAGATTTTATATGAAAGCCATGACCTTAAGAAAAAGTGATCTTGGTTATTTATAAAGCTTTTCAAAGCCTAAACAACACATTAAAATATATAAAGCAAGTCACAGTGTAACACCAAAATCCTTGAACAGGATTTTGCTGTTCTGTTCTTCTTTTATATAACATTTAAGTATAGAAAGAATTGGCCAGACATTTGGAAAATCTCAACACTGTAAGGTAACAGAGAATATAATAAAGATGCCAATAACGACAATACATCTTTGAAAGGCAAACTATTGTTATTCCTATTGTCTTTTCCCATTAATAATCACACTTTGCTAAAATGTTTATATTAACATACCTTTAAATATCTAATACAAACTTTGTCTTAAAAATAGAAGACAAATTGAAAACAATATGCATATAGAAATAAAAAGGTATGTTTTACCAATAGGCAAATTGAAAACAAATGTGAAAACATCACAACTGATTATTCTTCTCAAATTCAGAGAACAATAGAGTACTATGATCTTATGCTTAACTACTAACCCAAGGCTTTTTCCACCCACATTTTAACTAGCTACATTTAAACTGCCACTCTCAACTATGACAACATGCATATTTGATATGACAGATGACCTGAAAATTAAAATATATGTATTAGATTAATTTTCCAGTGAAAGTACCCCTAAATTTGGCTGTTCATCTAAAACAAAACAAAAAACCCTAAAAAGTCAACATGCAGTTTTTGAAGAAGTCACTATACATCACAAAATCAAGTAATCAGAAACATTTTTTAAATGCCTATTATAGTAAAAGGGAAACTTAAAAAGATTCTAAAAGCTTATTTTAAAAAAAAAACTTGAAAAAATAAGTATAAATAAATACCATATATGAAAACTAACGATTACATTATAAGATTCTACGCAGAGCTTTGAATTTGAATGACAGCATTTTCAGAGAGACATACATTCATAGTCTATGTGGAACAAGGGTAAAGGAAAGAGGATAAAGCAGGTAGGTTTTCTTTACCACAGTGAAAAGGAATCTAGAAATGTAAAGGAAAGATCCAGGAAGTTTGCTGTGAGTGGGTTGAAAAGATAGTTTGTATTTGGTGAATTGCCTAGAGTTCCTATAAGTGACCCATAGTGGGCTACTAAGGAATGCAATTGGGCAAATGAAAAGAAAAACAAAGAGGGTGAGAAGAGATCTACATCGTTTCAGAGAATGCTTCAGTTACCTTAGTTTTCAAGCAGACATTTACAGTTGAAGAAGCTAAGGCCTGCTAAGATTAAGTGATCTGCCAAAGCTCACATGCCATGTTATTTAACACCATGTTCTGGCTCTTTCCGTGACACTTACGTGGAGGAAAAATGGAATTGTTAACTTTACACAAAAGCTGAATTTATTTTTAAAATGTTACTTAAGCTGTAAGTATGCAAAAAGCACTTTGAGCTACTCCAAACAAAGCTACTCTCTTTTGTAGAGATCAAAAAGGATCTTTCAAAGGATATTAGAAAGAATACCATGGAGTAGATGAAAATCATGTTCTTTCATCTCTAAGGTATGACTATCTAATCTGGGAAAAGTTACTCTCTCTCCACAACTTATGCCAGATCTCTATTAAATATATTCTTAGAAGCACTTCTCTGACTCTAAATAGAACTAACCAGCAATTAAATATTTGGTTTTTTGACTGCATTATGTATTAAAACAAAAGCCAGTATTGTTAAAGGCTGAGATCCTGAATATAGTACAATCATTTCTGTCTAAATTTCTTGTTAAATAGACAGATTTCATTTTAAGGTTTTAACTAAAAAATTATGCTTTATAATATGCACCAAATGCATATAAATTGGAACTCTATTGCCTGATGAAGAGATGTTCCAAGAGAAATTAATTCCCTTCAGATTAAAAAAAATTAGAGTTCAGTAAGTAATTTTTAGAATAGGAATTCTGAGTTTATTTGTAAAAAATTCTCACCTTAGATGTGTAACCTTATTTGGCCCCTTTTTATAATATTCAGTGCTAAACTAAATAAATGTAATAAATGTAATAAATAAATAAATAAATATTAGGTGCCAAATAAATTCAGACAAAATCAATCAAAGTGGAAACTCAAAAGCTTCCCATCAGGGAACTGAAGGTCTCATGATGAGTTACACTATCAGGAGTGCTTCTCAGTGCTACGGCTTCAGTGTTTTGGCTCGTTTTCTCCCCTAAGCCAGAACTCCCAATTTTTCCTCAAAATTGCCTGGGAGAAAGAGAAGTAGCATTCATTCTGTATCCTCTACATGCAAGGGCCTGAGTTAGGCATCTTAAAATCACTTTCTACATTGTAAGTCTCACAGTCATCTCACTACTATACTTGCTATTCTCCGAAGCATTATTCCATTATTTCTATTCAAAACACACACACACATAGAGGAATGTATACACAGATCCTCCAATCTTTTCTTTGTTCCATCCACTAGAAATACTCTCCTGATGTATTTCCACTTGCTAAATTTTATCCAAAAAATTTAAGTTCCACATAAATACCAAGTTCCAAAATAAATACCAGTCCTTCCATAAAGCCTTTCCTAATACCAAAGCCAACCTCCTTTGATTCCACAAAGGTGCCTGAATTTCTCTTATGATACTGATTTAACTCTATCTTGTCCTATTGTTTGTACAATTTTATTCCCTCCACCTACATTATAAGCTTCCTTCTGAAGACTCTTAATGTAGACTCATATAATGGGAGTTACCAGTCACAGTTAAAAAAAAAATTCCTGGTGTTCACTTTAATGTAAATAGGGCTTGTTCTATCACATCTGGCTCCCATTCAATTCCTTTCTTAGATTTCATGGGAGATACTCCTAGTTCTTATCTTAGAAATCAGACCATTCAAAATCGTCTGAGCTACTCAGACTCCATACAAGGGTAGATTCAGATGGAGATATATATAAGTTTGGCAGGATTCTCTTCCAAAATCTGCTTTATACTCCTTTTCCATTGATTGATTGATTAACCAACTTACTACTTACTAATGCTAGGTACTGTTCTTGATGTTGGGAATATAGCAAAGAATACAACTGAAATCCCTGTTCATAATAAATCTTACATTCTAGTGGAATGAGCTAGACATTAAACAAACAAGTAAGTAAATATACAATATGCCAGGAGCTGATAAATAGAGGGGGATAAAGAGTAATACAGAAGTATTATTAATTGGTACAGGTTTTTGTGTTTTAATTTCCCTGGGACAAAGGCCCAAAAGTGCAACTGATATATGGTAAACTCATGTTTAGTTTTATAAGAAACTGCCATATTCTTTTCCAGACTGGCTGTACGATTTTACATTCCTACCAGCAATGTGTAAGTAATCCAATTTCTTTGCATCATCACTAGCATTTTTATTGCCACTATTTTTTATTTTAGCTATTCTGATAGATGTGCAGTGATATCTCATTGTGGTTTTAATCTGTTCCCTAATGGCTAATAATGTTGAATTTTTTATGTGTTTATTTGCCAGCTGGTCATGTATTTTGCTCATTTCCTAATTACATGTTTATTTCTTGCGGGCTGCGTAGTTTTCAAATATTTCCCTTCAGTCTGTAGCTTGTCTTTTCATCCCCTTCACAGCGTCAAATCCTTCTTTAAAAGTTCTTTGGTTTATTAAAAAAAAAAAAGAAGAAGATAGCAGGAAGGGAAGAATGAAGGGGGGGGAATCGGAGGGGGAGACGAACCATGAGAGCCTAAGGACTGAGAAACAAACTGAGGGTTCTAGAGGGGAGGGGTGTGGGGGGAGGGGTTAGCCTGGTGATGGGTATTAAAGAGGGCACGTACTGCATGGAGCACTGGGTGTTACACGCAAACAATGAATCATGGAACACTACATCAAAAACTAATGATGTAATGTATGGTGATTAACATAATAAAAAAAATTTAAAAAAATAAACCCAGGTTTAGGGGCACCTGGATGGCTCAGTCGGTTAAGCGTCTGCCTTTGGCTCAGGTCATGATCCCAGGGTCCTGGGATCGAGCCCTGTTATCAGGCTCCCTGCTCAGTGGGGAGCCTACTTCTCCCTCTCCCACTGCCTCTCCCCTTACTTGTACGCATGCTCTCTCTCTCTCAAATAAATAAATAAAATCTTAAAAATAAATAAATAAATAAAAGTTCTTTGGTTTAGCTTGGTGGTTTTAAAACTGTATTTGATAGAGATGTCAGGTTCTGAGAAGGTGACTCACAGGAGCAAGGGTCCAGCATCTTCTCCCTCCTTCAGCCAGCGCAGCACTGCTTTGTTTTTTTTACAGATTTATTTATTTGAGAGAAAGAGCACATGGAGGGCGGGGGCAGAGGGAGAGAGCCTCAAGCAGACTCTGCGCTGAGCGTGGAGCCTGACACGGGGCTCTATTTCATGACCCTGAGATCATGACCTGAGTAGAAACCAAGAGTCAGACGTTTAACCAACTGCACCACCCAGGTGCCCCTGTGCAGCACTGTTTTTATATATTGGGTCTCCATACAAGATTTGGTTTGAGAAATGTTTGAAAAATAGCTATTTCAATTTAGTGATACATAACAAAATTGGCTTTGGCCATTACGTTTGTTTCTAACCTTGAAAGATAAATGTCCAAATGCCTAGCTCAATGTTATTTTTGGCATCCCTGAACTTGTGCATAGCCAATACAACAGATGACCATGTAGGTTACCACAAAATCTACTGAGTGTAAAGACACTGTGATAGGACTAAGGAGTGTTGTTCAAATTTATTGATAATATCTAAATATCTTCCAAAGGAGCTAAGTATTCTGGATGTAACCTGAAGCAAAATTCTCCTTCACTGTTTTGTACGATGATATCCTAGGAGCGGAAGAATAAATGTGTAATTAAGACTGCAAAATTAAAATGATGCAGTAATTGACATTTGAAATAAATTGACACTGAACTTGATAGTAAGAAAGAAAAATATGTTAGCTGGCTAACTTTAAAAACAGCATCCTAAACTTTA